ATCAAAGAAAACAGCTTCTGTCCACAAATGACTTATGCTTGTGTATAGAACTGTAGCAGACACTATGTCAATATACAAAAAAGCTTTATATGAAGAATAAAAAAGTGAGTTGTTATCAGGTAAAAAACGGTGGTGGCTGCTCACGAAGTGCTATTTTTCTCTTTTTTTTTTGTATGAATTTTCTACTTTACAGATAGTAAGATTGTGCTGAATTGTGATTGTAAGATATCTTTTAAATTAATTTAATTACAGAAACAAAAACTCCACAATTCTGATAATTTGGAAATCCCAGTGGATGAAAGGGGAGAATTTTTAGTTATATTGGTTTATGTGATAAGGCCAAAATACTACATATTATGCACTTTCAATTTAAAAATGTATGTTTTATACATTCTGTAAGGATTTGGATAGTTGGCCTATGCAGATGTAATATATGTAACAAACATTCTGCTTTTGAAGATCTTAAAAACATGTTTCACTTCTTTCAGATATTTAGAAAATTACTGAAGAAAAACACTATGTTTAAGTAGTTACAGTAGAACTACTGAGCTCAGCTTTTTATAGGCAAAAATTGTGAGGCCACAACAGGTTCCTTTCCAAAACTCAGGAACAGCGCTGTGCTACAAAGAACCTTAAAATGCATTAGGTAATGTATGACTGTCTCCAAGCAGAAGAATTTGTTAACCTGAAGCTAATGTGGCAAATTAATTTTTGGTCATATCCTTTAAGGATCTGTTCAGTTATACTTGATTTATATGAACATTAACAAAAGATTTATGTTACAAAAAGTCAACCCACTTTTGAGTTAGAACAGCTTCATTTTGAACATCGAATATCATGTTAAGAGAGCACTGTTTGACAGAACCAGCTTTTAAACTGTGGAAATACGAGGATTTGACTGCAGTCTGCTTAGCTTGGGATTGATCCTGTGCTGCTGTTTTCTGCTGTCATGTTCCTGGCATTGTCATTGGCGCAGTCTTGGAGCCTATATAAATACATTTTGGTTTATTTATGCAATACTTTAAGTGGTAATGTATTGTTGCACTTTAAGCACTTGTTACTTGTAATAATGTCTCTAGATGATGCTTTGAAAGATGAAGGTAGCAGGAAACACAAGGAAGTTTATATCTTGCACTGATTTTAGTCTTGTTGGTCCATGAATAAGGTGATTCAAGAGCTGATCCTCCCCATTCCTACTGCTATACAAGTTTGGCAGCATTACATTGCTATCAAAAGGTGTACTCGATCACACTAACAAGTAGGAGTTAGATCTAAGCATATGCTTAAGGTGCCGTGGCTTCAGACTTGTTACTTGTTACATCTAGAGTGTATTCTTAGATTAGGTTAATAAAACTCCAGATCCTAATTCTTTGCTTGTAATGATGATCCCTGTGCCAGACTAAGGCTTGATCCAAAATTAATTTTGCAAAAAGAAACCCATTTGACCTTATGTGGTCACCGGGACTGTCCAGACTTTTGAGTGCTGTTGATGCCTTCTCCAATGCATTGACTCTTCTATATTATAATACCAACTGCAGGATGGCCCTTAATTAGTGTGGTGGCTTTGTTGAGGGCAGAAGTGAATTGGTTTAGGCAGACAGAGGATTAGGACCCCTCAGATTTATGAAAAGCTTGTGCTTTACCATTATCCTAGTACTCTGTGGCAAATCTGGGAAGGAGCTTTTGTGAGAGAAGCTTACAGCAGAGGAAGCTCTACAGGCTCTCTTTGTCTAGAGGCAGCTAATGGTGTGCTGAATGCCTTCTTTGAGTAGGGATAGCCATTCCTGCAATTTATCCATGCAGGAAGGAGCCCACAGCTGCATTTGGTGGGTGTGAGGCACTACTCTGCCATCAAAGAAGCTGAGCTATATTATATTGAAATTGTGTTAGAGGCACGGTAGTGTGATCTGAGCAAAGGCTGTAGCAGGAAGAAGCAGAGACATGGTCCAGTGCTGTGGTCCACTGCTCCTGATCTCGTGTGAGATGTGGAGAACTGAGCAAAGCTCAGCAAATCACTGTTTGTGGTCCTAGCAAAAAGTAGTTAAAGTAGCCATTAAGTCTATCAGAAGATGTGCTTTTGTCCTACAAGCTGCTTTAAGAGGGAGCTAAAAGAAACTGGAGGCTATTTAATTCCTTAGATTAATTAATATAGAGTCAGTTTTAGAGAAACAGCAGCAACTGCCTCATAGTTGTTTGCTTTCATAGACAATACTGTCTAGATTTTGGTTTCATGCAGGTACAGATTCCCATGTAGTGTTATCTTGACACAGATTATATGAAGTGTGACAGAAGCAAATGTAACTTTGGGAAGGGTGTGCAGGAATAGACTGTTTTCCTGGAAACTTAGATGTGTGGTAGTGATGAAGTTGGTAAAGGTGTATCATTACCACACCGTGCCATAGGTAGCCTGCAGTGCAGCTGGAGAGAAATTGCCTTGATAATGCTTTCTGGTTGTGGGGGTAGATGTGAGGCTCTTGACTTCATTAGAACTGCCTGTAAATGGAACAGAGTGCAGTCCCAGTCTGCATGCTAAAAGTTTGTCATGAAATGAAGGCAGAGATAAGGAATTAGTCAAGAAGTCTGCAGTGTAAGGCATCTTAGCATATTTGTATTACACATGTGATTATTTTAATTTCATATTGAGGTTATTGACAGCACCTATGAGATTTGTATTGCATCTTTCACTTTTCTAGCAGCTAGTTTGTAATTCTTACTACAAGCAGCTTACAAAGATAAAATAGAGGAAATACATTTTTTTTTCTTGAGTGCTAGAGAAATACATAACTGGTGCAGTTGAGTGGGAGATCAGATTGGACACCAGAACTGGGATTCTGATCTGAGCACAGAGCAGGATGAACTTCTGTTGAAGAGTTACTGAACAAATGCTGAGAAATGAGGATAAACCTGTAGAGATTGTGTGCAGATAATCAACCATCTTTTTTAGGTGTGCAAGTGGCCAGTGGAGATGAGCTGAGTTTCCAGAGGAGTGGCAGAAAAGGCCACTTTTTGTTGATGGAGAAACGTCTAATTATCCAGATACAGCTTTTGATAGTGGAAATGTTCAATGCCAATATTAGTTCAGTGCTGGACAAGTTTTCTGATAAATCTTATGGTGTGAGAGGAAAATATCCTATAAAGAAGATGGAGAATTGGTTTGAGATTGCAAATTGTCTTGTACAGCAAAGGAAAAACTGCTGCTCTTTCCCAGGCCATACAAGGGAAGAGTGATCAGGTCTTGGTGGTGGGCTTGGAACCTGCTGTGAAGTTGCAGCAAGGCAGAGTTGTTTAAGGATGAACTTGTGACACTTGCCACTGAAGTAATTGATATTTTGCAATATATAAATAAAGCCGTACTTCAGTTAAACCACATAATTTTCATCTGATATTTTTTTTCCTGTATCCCAAACAGTGCTCATTACCTTTTCTGGGTAAGCTTGCACTTCATCTGGTTCTGCTATTAACTGCTGGAGTGTTTTTGAACATACTAACAATGTGCTGACTTATTCCAGCTGAAAATATAGCTCTGTTTTCCTTCTGACTAATTGTGATAAGTTTCCATCGTGGTTTTGTGAACAAAGAAAAATAGTAGTTCATAAGAATCAGAAAGCTACGTTTTGGGGACAATATCATGATCCTCCAGAGGGTTGTTGTGATCTAGAGGTGGTTATTCTCTTGTTATTTAGGTATAACTAGCTTGGTATAGGTTTGGTCAGTGCTTCAGTTCAATGAGAGACCTACAGTTGAAGAACTGTTCAATATATGCAACTAATGTGCACTCAACTCCTTAGGGGGCTTCCATAAATTATTCTTAGGCTGAAAAACACTTTTTTACTTCCATGGGTAAAAAGTCCAACTGATTTGAATTTATTTTCTCAGTTTTATACTTTCCTACTTTGTCCTCAAAATTAAGCATAATTATCTTTTTTACCACATACTTGAATAGTTTTTTGTACCCTACGTTATCTGTATCAACATTGCAATTACTTAATCTTGTCAGGAAGTACTTACAATTGTGGTCATGGCCTCATTCAATGGGTAACTGAACAAAAAACTGAATACTTGGATCTGCAGCAAATTGATGTTTAAATCACAGTGTAAAGCACATAGATAAACATTTAGTATTTAATCATCTGTTAAAATGAAATGCATTTTCAATTCTCAGTCGCTTCATATCAAAATGAAAATGTAATAAATGTCAGGATTTGATTTCCCATCCCTCTTATAAACTGTGTTGGTAGCATCAGTTTTCTAGTGGCAGCATCTTCTTGGGAGCAGGAGGGTCACACTGGGCAGTTGAGCAAAAGCTTTTGGTAACTGGATTCCAATGGTTAGAGTTTGTGCTGGGTCTCAAAGGTCTTACCCTTCTCTGCACTGTTATTTCATGACTTTTTGTTTCTCCTCTCTCCTCCCCAACTGGGAAACAGTGTTTTAGAAGATATTTTAGGAATGATGGGGAGGTATACTTGCAGCAAAATCTTTTAGAACGTGGTTCTATATGTGTTTTCCCTCTTTAGTAGGTAATCTAAGCAGAAGGAGGAAGGCAAGCTCCATACTTAAAATATTTAACATTTATGTTGACTTTGTTTTGCTTGTTGTGGCAGTCATGATTATTTCTCCTGGGAACTTTGAAATTTGGTGGAAAAATTAAATATTCCATGACCAGTTCCTTGAAAGCTGCTAGTATTTTGTGTCCTAAATATACTTCCAGAAGCAAAGGTCACATTTGTCTGCCCATGTTTAAAGCATGTAGAAGATGACTTGATTACATAAAAACTATGAGATCTAAGTGTTTGCTCATTTGGTGCTCATTACAGTGAGAGCTCTGTAACTAGAAGGGGGTTTAGATACCGTAATGAAACTGTCACCTCATATCTCTCATTGTGTATTTCTTTCTGCCATGATTTTAATTTTCTATATTGCATAGGGGTTTAAAAATTTGATTCTTAAACCTTTAAGTTTGCATAAAAAACTAATAATAACTCTTTGGTTTTGTAGGTGCTAAACCAAATGATCTACAATTGGTAATATCACTGTTAAGAATGGATGGGGAGGAGAATAAGAAGAGAGATGATGTTGATGAGAATTTGCAAGTTGAGTTGGCAGAAGAATCCCCAAGAAACGCAGCAGGACAAAATTCTGGATGTGACTCTTCATCTCAGCAGAAAACAAGGCCTACATCAGATGAAGTGTTCAGGAACCTTGAAAAGAAAGAAAAAGAGAATGGCACAAACAAAACAGCACTGTCAGAATCACCAAACCTGGATGTTGTTGAAGCAAGGAAACCTGAAAATATCTCCAGGAAAAGAAAGCAGAGTTGTTCAGATGACATGAAAGATAGTGGAAGGAAATTGCAAAAAGTTTTAGCTGGAGAAGCATGTGGTATGGTCGCTGGAGCTGTAAAGCAGGAAGGAGTCACCAGTTGTCCTGATAGCGACACATTTAATTCAGATATCTTGTGCCTGCGTTATGATTTCAGATGTGCTGCTGCTGATGCCATATTGAAAATTCCCAAGGAAAATAAACATTCACAAGAGGTGTCAGCTGCTGTTCCTGATAAATTATATTCTTCAGAAGAAAGCAGTGTTGTCTGTACAGCTGGAAACATAGACAAAGACCCTAAAGACAAAATGAGTGATAAGTGTTTACCTTCCTGCTCTGATAAGGAAAAACATAAACAAGAAAGCTTCTCTAAACCATCCAAAGAGCAAACACACCCTCACTGTAGTTGCATAGGTGAGTGCAGTTCAACATCGCATATGCGTGCTAAGCGAGATCGTGAGAAATCCAAGATATTTTCTTGTGATCTTTGTGGTTTTCAGAGTGCTGAAGAGAGTCTCCTAAATTCTCATCTCCTTGGCAAGACTCACCTTCGACGCCAAAACCTTGCTGCACGGGGAGGATTTGTACAGATATTGACGAAAAAATCCTTTAGAAACCAACAATCTAATGCAACCAAAGAGAGGAATGTCAGGGTAAAACCTGGGACCAATAAATTAAGGGCAAGAACTGCTGATGCAAAAGAATTAAGTGTTTGCAGTGCACTGAAAGGCTCAAAATTAAGCTTGTCTAAACAAAAGGATTGCAGTGAACTTGTTGAAATGATACCATCTTCAAATACTCCCACTGAAAAAATGGATACTGTGACAGAAGAAACATTGCTTTCTTCTGGTCCAGAAGGAAATGATAAAGTTCATACTGAAAAACTAGAAATACCGGGACCATCCGAAAATATCTTGCAGAAAACAAAATCCCTTCCAACTACCAAAAAGCTGCTTAACAGTTTACACAGGACAAGGAGATTTGACAAACTGAAACACAAAAGAAATGTTTTCTTGTTAAGGTCTTCATTTGGACAGAGTAGGTCTTCTAGATTAAAAAGGCAGGTTAAAAGAAGATACAGCTTGTTAGGGAGTAGTAAGAGACCCAAATCTGAAACTCAGAAGGTACATGTGAAGCCTGTCTCCAGCACACAGCTTACACATGATGAATCAAACCCTGTGTCACATACAGAACTAGAAACAGATGATAAAAGTAATTGTAATACTGCTGCAGAAATACAAGATCTTACTGAATATAGGCCAAATACCCCTTCTTCTAGCACTGCAGATGCTAAAGATTCTGAAGTTAAACTTACTGCTGATGATAGTGCTCTTCATACTTGCATGGATTGTGGTCATGTTTTTCTTGACAGAGAAAGTTTGGAAACTCATGTTGCAAAACTTCATACAAAAAGGACCCAGTTTCATTGTCAGATGTGTAGTGATTCCTCTGGAGTCAGGGAAGACATGAAGCAACACTGTCATGACAGTAAGCACCAGATGGGTGATTGTAGCTTTAATTGTCAACTCTGTTCATTTACCAGCTTGAACGTGGTCAACCTTCAAAGCCATATGAGTGAAGTTCATAATATGTCTCATAGTTGTCCAGCTTGCATTCTTTTTTTTCAGTTTGAAGAAGAGCTTATAAGTCATCAAAAAAATGAGAAACACGGTGGTTCATTATTTCAGCAAGCTACTACATTGACTAACAGTGATCAGACCTTGCAAGTGGTACCTTCCAGTGACTCAGTATCGAACAATAGCCAAAGACTTACAAAGGAAGTGGAAGTGTCAGTGCAAACAAAACCCTCAGACTCTTCCTTCATAAATCATAGAAATGAACTAAAACATTCTGTTCTGAATAAAACCAAATTTCAATGTAAAAAGTGTTTTTATAAGACAAGATCTTCCACAGTTCTTACAAGGCACATAAAACTCCGACATGCACAAGAGTATCACTTCCTTTGCAAAGCATGCAATCTCTACTCCCTGAGTAAGGAAGGAATGGAGAAACATATCAAAAGAAGCAAGCATCTTGAAAATGCCAGGAAAAACAACATTGGACTACGTTTTGAAGAATGTATTGTAAAGGTTTGCGTTGGTGTTGGTGGCATTAAATCAGTGGTGGATACTTCCATTTCTGGGAGTGGAAATACAGAATTGGATAAAGAAATTATACAAGTTTCATCTTCTTCTGTGGAAAACATATCGATAAATAAGGAATTTGTTCCATCTGAGCAAAGGATTGGTGAAAATGAGTTGGTTTTAGCTGATGCATCCAGAGGAGGGAAGCTTAAAGGTACTGTTTCTAGGACATGTACCCATTGTGGCCTTTTGGCCTCCAGTGTTACAAATTTGACTGTTCACATCAGGCGAAAACACAGTCATCAGTACAGCTATTTGTGTAAGGTTTGCAATTACTACACTGTCACCAAAGGAGATATGGAACGTCACTGTGCAACCAAAAAACACAAAAGCCGAGTTGAAATAGAAGGATGTGGAAAACAGAACTCGGAGATCATCGTTAGCCCTGAAGGAGGTAATTTTGAATCCATAAGCAAAAAGATTAATAGCCCCATGACTGCCTTGCCTGAACATATTGAGGATGGTGGCCAGTCATCAGATGTGGAAAATTCTGTCTTAGACAATCAGGAAGCTGAGCGAGGAGATGCTGAGTTAAAAGCTGCAAATGCCAGTAGGCTGCCGGATTTGCAGCCTGGTAGGAATCCACTGAATATAAACCAACGTGTGTTACTGGAACCAGCGAGTGTTGCTCAAGACTGTGACCCAAGCTTCCAGAGAAGAGCTATGGGTGCAAATGACAACAAGTGTGTACACTGCAGTTTCATTGCTCATTCTGCTGCTTCTTTAGAGCTGCACGTGAAACGAAAGCATACAAAACAATTCGAGTTCTACTGCATGGCTTGTGACTACTATGCTGTTACTCGCAGGGAGATGATAAGGCATGCAGCAACAGAGAAACATAAAATTAGAAGAGAATCTTACATTCATTCTTCTGGGGAGGAAGCAAATACAGCACATATCACTAAAGAAGGCACTGTTTTGCCTCAAGAGGAGCACCATCGCAGTGCAGGAGAATCAAAAACTATTTTAGATGAAACAAAGCGTGCCAATGATGCATCAGAAGGTGATGATATGAATAAAAGCTTTACTGAGTCTACTGCCTTAAATGAAAATACATCTCCAGGAATCTCTAAAGATGTCAGTTCCCAAAATGCAGTAGGAGATGAACTTGATAAGGAGTCTAAAAGTGGAGGAGAAAACCCTTTTTGTGAAGGATTCCAGCAAACTCCTCAGAAAGATAAAGTTGTTGAACTTGTCAAGGAAGTATCAGTTAAAGAAACAGGTACTTGTGAGGTGCAGAAAAATAAGCATGGGCAGGAGCTGCTCAACTCAGATGATGATTGCGCTGCTGAAAATCAAAATAGATCAAGCACCACAAACTTCAATTCAGAAAAAGGTGTGGAGAGCTTGGGAGAAAATAGTGAAAACCCAGAAGCAGAGTGTAGAGACAAAGACAGTCTCAAAAAAAAATCACTGAAGAAAAATAACCCACTTATGCTAAGTCTTCCTGAAACAAGTAGTGCAGTAGAGCAATCAAATTTTGCTGGAAATACTGGAGAAGCAGTACAAAATAGACGTAGTTTAGATGGTAACAGAAGTTTCAGAGAGGATCCTACTGGGGAGGAAAAAGCCCTTATGGAAGCACAACATGAAGCTGAAGTAACTATAAATAACAATGTTTGGGAGGCAGATGGCTCAACAGCTGAGGGCACACAAGAAAGTAGTAATGAGGCTTTAGGAACAGTTATCAGTGCTGATGATAATGGAAAGGCAATGCAAAATGTTGGCAAGTTTGATTCTTCTATAGTGAGGTTAAAAAGTCATCAAGATGCGGAGGCCACTGACCATTCTGCAGAAGGACAGATGTCAGGGGCAGTGAAAACTAGTGAGCTCACAGTGAAAGCAGACACTTCAACAAGTGTTGGGAAAAAGAAAAAGTCAGAAGGAATTTCCCTTGGGGAATCGACACGTATTCGCTGCGATGACTGTGGTTTTCTAGCAGATGGTTTGAGCGGACTAAATGTTCACATAGCCATGAAACATCCTTCAAAAGAAAAGCATTTTCATTGCTTACTCTGTGGAAAATCATTTTACACAGAGAGCAACCTTCACCAGCACTTGGCCAGTGCTGGGCACATGCGAAATGAGCAGGCGAGTGTGGAGGAGCTGCCCGAAGGAGGCGCAACCTTTAAGTGTTTGAAGTGCACGGAGCCCTTTGACTCAGAGCAGAGCTTGTTTCTCCACATCAAAGAGCAGCATGAAGAGCTGCTGCGTGAAGTCAATAAATACATTGTTGAAGATACTGAGCAGATAAACAGGGAGAGGGAAGAGAACCAAGGCAATGTCTGCAAGTATTGTGGGAAGATGTGTAGAAGTAGCAATTCCATGGCCTTCCTAGCTCACATCCGTACCCACACAGGTATGGAAATGCTGTTGTTGCAACTGGTCTCTTTCAAACAGAGTTTGAATTATACCATTGGAATTATACCATTGGTCTTTTTCTGCTTGTTAAGCCCTTTAATATTTCTTATGAACTGCATTTGTATTGCCTGATAAACCCCGGTGAAATTCAAAATTATCTAAAAGGTTATGAAAATACAGTGATCAAAGGGCAGAAAATGTAAGAACACTTCAGATGCAGTCACCCTTCTGCTTTTTGTTTCATATAGAGAGATTTTCTTTTTAATCTAAACTGTAACCATTGATTGGTTCTTCTGTTTATGTAATGAAGCAGTAGTGGTTTGAGAGAACAATTAGCTGTTCTTTCTAACTTTCTGTGCAGTTGTTTAATTTGTTTAATATCCAGATTGTTTATTTAATTTCAATTTAGTGGAACTTTCAGCATTACATAACGCTTCAGAATAGGCATTTCCAATTACATCATTCCTAAATAAATACCTGTAAGAAAGCACAAGAGGTTTTTGTAGAAATAAGTTATAGCGGTTGGAATTGGTCAGCCTTTCTGGAAGGTGGTATGCAGTGCTGATGTGTTGCTCAGGGATGCAGCATCTGATTTAGTTTCTGTGCTGATCACACTTTAAATTCATTTTTATGTTTAATTTTAAGTGGAAAATTTAAAAACATTTCTGTAGAAAAATGCATAAGCTGCAGTTCTAAATTTATGTAAAAATTCACTGCTATGTTTCTATAAACCTGCCATACATTCTTTATTTTAAATAGACAGCTTTTCTAAATCACTGAGCTCTGCTTAGACAAGTGGTGTCTCCATGGTTGAATTTATGAGTGGATTTGAATAATAAATTCACATTTCAATGAACATATTTTCATTAAAACTGTAAGGTTTATTTTACTGTACTTTTAAATAATGGCTTATTATGGAAGCTATAGTTTAAATTCATGCAGTATTTGAAACTTAGTGCCTGCTTACAAGGAAGAGAACAAAAAGGTAAGAAAAAAAGCAGCATAAAAGAATGGTAATTCCTGGCATAATCCTAAAATAGTTTTGTAAGTTTTTTTATGAAAAGGCAAGGGCGTGACTGGACAACAAATCCTAAAAATTAATCTCAGGGAACATGGACGTTGTATTTCAAACCTTTCAAAGTATTTTACTGTAACTGCAGTATTCATGTATACCAATAACTCACATACTTAATACTTTCAGCATTACTTCTGTCCTGTCAATAGCGTAGTTATCTGTATTGCTTCAGCTAATATCCAACTTCGAATGCAGTGTTAAGTCTTTAGAGGGATGCTCATGTTCACATGGTCAGAACAGCTGTATAAGCCCTTAATATGCCCTCTTACGGCAGATAAAACTGAATAAAACTAAGGGGGAGGATGCTAATGGAGCTCTCTTTAGAATTCTTTATGCAACTGTCTGGTCAAGACATGTTGCTTATAATTGATGTGTCCATTACTTGAATTCTCTTGTAATTATAGTCAATAAGTCTTGTAAATGTGTTAAAGCTCACTAAAAGCATACAAATTCAAGAACAGAGTAAGGCTAATAATTTAAAATAATCAATGTAGGCATTTCAGCACTTAATTTCCCTTGTGTGTTGATAGCTGATCATTCTTAATCCATTAAGATTTATTTAGTCGTTTACAATGCAAAATAGGTTTGCACTGGTCACTTGTGCCATTTGAAAATGTCCACCAGGTTAAGTGCAGAATGTAGTCCATTAGTCTTCCTTGACTATATGTATTAATTGCATTTAAAATCAAGTTAATGTGGATGTGAAAGTGAGGTAACTATCAATATATGACAAAGCAACCCTACTTACATAAGTTACATCATTGATTGTAACATTTAGTAAAAGTTAGTGTACTTTTTAACATCTTGTGTGTAGGTCTTATCATGGAGTATATTTTTACAGTGCTTTTGGATAGCACTAAATATGCAAAGCAGTGAAAGAATACATTTAATTTTGCAAGTAATTTTTTGATGCAGAAGTATAGAAGGGTTACAGAACAGAGTTTTATCTGCCCTCTTTCTCACTGCTACTTTAAACTAAATGTTTTTCTTATGCTTTGCTTATTGACATAAATAGTAATGTGGAGACTTTTATTAATACTTAATGGGAAGAAGGCTTTCTCTTCCAATGTCTTATTTTCCTGATTGGTTTTTTTTTTCTTATGGAACCTTTTCTTTCCATCTGTATCACAGTGGATACAGTTTAATAACAAGCAAATATGTTTAGGTTATTTGGATTAGTGGTAGAGGGAACTGACCTACTGCACCACCTGTATGTACATTTCTTGTAACGTTGGTGGGGCAAAGTCCACCATTTCCAGCTTCTCACCTGTCCCAGGGTAACAACAGGTACATAAGAGCACAGCCACATATTTTCCCATTTATTGTTCTGATTATATGCTTTTAAAAGTCTTTCATCAGCATCTAGATGTGCATAAATAGGTTTATATACATGGGTATGTATATGTAACCATTACCAACTCCTTTCCTTTTTTTTTAATTGAATAATCAGTGATGATATGGGGTGGTGGAGGGAAGGCAAGGGAAAGTTGCAGAAAGATACAACTAATAATTTCCATTAATAGAAAAATAATGTTTCAAAATACCATTAAATAATGTAGGAGATTTTCACATTGCAAATGAAAGGGAAGCTTTGCTGTAGAGGACCTAACAAGTAAGTCCATCACATGTTGACAAGTGAAAATGAGGAAGTGTAAAGAAAAATAAAAGGAGTAGTAGAGGTGGAAGATTTTTTAGTTTGCAGTTGATGGAGGTCCCATAAACTTAATTAACAATCAACATCTGAGGAAAAATCACCTGCAAATGCATCATCTTTGTTTCTTTTCTCATCAGATTTCTCAGTTAATGGCAGTTGTGCCCAGTGCTAGTATGCTGTATTACTGCCCATGTCCTAAACATAGGAGGAAATGGTATGATGACATTCCATGTGGCTCTGCTCACTTTGTATTGGGCCTGAGCTAGGAGCACAGCAATGCCTGCAGGTGCAGGTGATGTTGCCTTTAGATGACCTAAAGTTGTGACAGTGAATTTTTTCTTTTAGCTTTGGGTCTGTATTGTCCTAATGTAAAGCAAGAATTATGAACTTGAATTTTTTTTACAAAACAGTAGAATGGTTTATGTCTGCCTGACCTGAACTCTTAAATTTAGTTTTATTTTCAGTTTGGTATAGTGGTGTTGGTTTTTGTTTGTTCTGTTGTTGTTCTGTTTTTGTTTTGTTTGTTGTTGGTTGGTTTGTGTAGTGTTCCCCCAGTTGTTAAGAGCCTTATTGTTTCCTGCAATTCTCTGCATTCAGAAAATGTACATTTGTTTTCCATACCATATCTTGCAGGTAAAGTAGCTTGGTGGATTTTTGGCTTTTTTTGGCTTGCTTTTTTTTTTTTTTGAGTCATTTGGTTGAAAAGATGACATAAATGAAAACATTTTTCTCTTTTTCTTTATGAGAATTTAAAGCCAAATGTGAATCCAGTAGTATCACAGTTTAAAACAGCGTACGAGTACTGCTGAAGTTGGTGATAAGTGAAAGCTAACATTTAACAAATGGTTAAATGCTTTACATTATTTCAGACATCTTTATGACAAATACAATTTTTTTTTCCTACCATTAATTTCATCTAATGTCTTCATTTTTACTATAAAATTTTGGGTTGTTCCGTCCAAGAGCATACTGGAACAAATTTGGCACCAGCAACCTAAAAGGGAGATTTTGTTTCAGGTGATAAGTACTGACTGGAGCCTGCCAGCACTTGAATTTTCATGGACTTTAAATGGAGATGTTAACAGATATTCAGCTCTGGGTCTGAGAAAAAAATCAAAACCCCTCAAGGCCTCAGTGATTTTTGGATGAGAGCAGTCAACAGAATAATACATTTCTGTATTGTCAGCACACTGTAGTCACGATTGGTCTGAACTCGAGTTCTTCACAAAGGAGTCATGTAAATGGAAAACAGCAAAGGTCTTGTATGGAAGCCCTGTGGGACACCTGCAGTAGCAGAATGAGGAACGAATTTACAATTTAATCACTAGGAGAGAAACTAAGGGAACATAGGATAGAATCCACATGGTATTTGAATTCTATGAGAAAAAAAAAGCAATATAAACACCAATAGTTTAAAAAAAATCCTCTTCACCTGTGGCCTTGTTGTTATTAATTGTCCAGCTAGAGATCAAAAGTTAAAACATCAACTTATAGTGGTCTTCTAATGCAAAGATAAGGATTTTTTTTTTTTTTATTTCCCTGGTCTCTTTGTAGAATGCAGTGTTGATTTGAAATGTCACCAAACTATTGATTAATTCAATTTTATCAGGATCATTTAAATAAACTGGCTTTTTTTCAGTGTGATGGATAGAATGTGATTGCTGTGAGCTGCAGTCTGAACCTGCTTTTGACATTTAAACATATAAAGCTGACTAGATATAACCATTGAGGTGCTAAATATATTTTACATCTACTTCCAACAGTAGAAATGGAAGTATTAAGAGATCTAGCTTCATTGTCATTGAACTGTGAAATATTCAACCTTGTCTGCCTGTGCTTAGTACTGTTGACTTTTTTATTTCAGTTAGAAGATTAAAATTAAATGCTTCATTTTTCGTTAGCTTTTGGAAATTAAATTGAAATTTAAGACTCTAAAAATTTTTACGAAGATCCTCAATTTCACTAGTGGTTTCTTGGAGGATATTTTATTTTCAAGGGCAAAGCAAAAAGGTTCATTGATCAAGTATGATATAGTGCAACATTTTTCTTATCAGAGCTCTTTATGTATATTTATTAAAGATCCCATATTTCATAATATGTCTAACTGTATTGGAAAAAATATTTCACAAAACATACACTAAACATAATATGGAGACTCTTTGACCATATTGTACTTACCTTTAACTGCAATTCTGTGATTTTGATTTATTCATTTAAGGATTTAGTGGTCAGAAAATTGGAAAGTGCTTCTAGAATGATGTTGCTGCATAATAACCTGGGGACTGACATGTGCCCAATTTAACTATGTCAGTAAAAAAGATAGTTTTTCCAGCTTGAGAGATCATCACTGTTAATTAAGATAGACAAATAATTTGACTTTTTGCTGAACCGATGTGGTACAAGAAATAGGTTGATACTTTTCCTTGGAGAAATAATTTCAGAGTTCTTTGGTCTGCTGCAGACATTTAATATTAAAGTTTGTTCTTGAAATAAATAATAGCCAAAATGTCAATACTTCTGGTTTGCAGAATAATCATAAATTCTTGACCATAAAACAGTCATAAAGGCATAATATTTTATCCACTGTATATTCATACATTGCATGCCATTACAATAGCTAGGTGATGAATCATTTGCTGTGTGTGACAGAACAAATCTGAAATACCAATGCTAATGTGAAATCTATTCAAAGTCAGAAGACTTGTAATATTCTTTTACTTTAAAAATATTTGCTAAAAAAAAGGACATTTTGCAGTTTAAACCAATGCCAAGCCACTTTAAGACCACTACCCTAGTTTCAGCATTTGGCCATTGGGAAAGGTGTAGAATAACTTTTGCTATCTTGTTGAAGCATTATTTGTCTATTATATTTTCTTCTCATTTTAATATATTTTGTTGATTTTTAATGATAAGAAAAAGACCAGATTAAAAGTTAAGAGAGCATTTTCTGTGATCTAGAACTTGAGGAAAATTTAATGAGTAATGTAAAGAATATACTATATAGAATATACTGACTGTGTCCTGGGAGTTACAAATTTATGTATGAGACACCTTTTTTATTAGGCAAAAATCTCAAACAGGTTAAATGTGGGATAGGTTTTAAAAGGTTATTTTTTCCTCGGGAATTTTTATTTCTTTAACTGTGGGTGATATTTTATTCTAATTCAACTCATATCTTATGCTAAATTTTACTTAGGATCAAAGCCATTCAAGTGCAAGATATGCCACTTTGCAACAGCTCAGCTTGGAGATGCCAGAAACCATGTCAAGAGGCACCTTGGGATGAGGGAATACAAGTGTCATGTCTGTGGGTGAGTAAATTGAAACAGTCTCCACCATGGTTAACCAGGAGAAGAGCACAGAATATGCATTGTTTCAGAATTGAAAACTGTGATGTGAGCAAGAGTGGCTAAAATTATGCATGCATATCCTCCTTTCCATTGTTATGGTAAATTCCTTAAATACAGTTATGACATTCTTTTCCCACTTCTAATCCTGCACTGAAGATGAGCAATTTTATGGGCTACAAGGTCAATTTGAACCTGTAATCTGTAAATTGACTAAATTATAGGATGTTCATTCACATTGCCAGGGAGAACTGTAAATTCCATTTAAAGACATAAAAAATATATAATATAGACTTTACTGTGTGGGGTTTTTTCTTTTGCTATACTGTTATAATTTTAGTACCATTAACAGATTTCTGGACTCCATTAGGGTTTTCATTCTTTATGAAAACAAAACAGAAGACAGATTTTTCAAACAAACGGATCTAAAATATTGCAGGCATATGAGTTTTCAAGTAAATTGAAGTCTTTTATGTGTGCTTGTGTTTCTGTTTGTTACCCAAAAAGTCTTGTTTTTCTTTTAACAATCGTTATTTCCTTAGAAGGATCGTTCATAATGTTTAATTGTCCTTCAAATGTGTTGCATTTAATAGGAGGCATTGAGACTCCTTAATGCAAAACTAATTAATTTAGCAGAAATGTTTAAAAGGTTTTAAAATGCCATGGCATATATGGTACATCATAGGACATTCAAAGTTGGATTTTAATACCCTAGTTCTGATTAAAAATATATTTTAATGTTATTATGCTGAAGAAATTAACTAATATATGCATCGTATAAAAGCATTTTACGCAAACCTATGTAACCTGCTATAGCAGTCTTATGGTTAATGTGTAGAAGAGCACAGGTTCAATTAGATGGTGCAGTGCACACATGCATGGTGTGGTGTGATGCTGGGGATAATATTCAGCAGGAGGAGGTATTTTAGCCTTAGCGTACCAATCTACTGCAGAACAAAGTGAGTTACACATTTTAGAAGACAAGTGAATCTTCAGCTGAAGATGCAGCTGAGTGATTTTCACTGATTCATCCCTCTGTTTTTCAAATAATTTTGCGTGCAGCATTATGAGATACTTTGGATGGGTTTATTCACTTAAGAAAATTAATTGCTAACTTCTTGAAATAAGAAATAAAAATGTATGATCCCAATTCTTAAGTCCACTGTATATCTGTCACACTGTATTAGGAATGGCAAAGCAAGACATAGGCTCTCTAGCTGGGTTGTACAAGAGAGCCAGTTTTATTATTCCAGATCTTTTTTATAGACAGGTCTGAGAAGGTGCAAGAGGTAAAACTCTCATTGGTCATTAAACCAACACATCACCATTATTGGACAATTAGGAACTACATGCAAAGACACAACAAGGATCCAAACAACACCTGCAAAGGTTGCCATCCTTCTCCAAGGACTGTTTGGATTCCTCCTTATAATTTCTCAGGCCCGAGTGAGAACTAGTTTCACACAGGCAATGTGCTCCTTTGCCTGCTTTCTTGCATTCAGCATCCATATATATCAGCAGTAGAATAAATTGTGCTGCTCCTTATTTTGAAGCATAGTTAATATGAATGTGGTAGGGTATTTTATATTGTTTTAAAAATCTCATTTGCTGTCTCTGCTTTGTCAATTGCCAAGAATTTGACATGGAAGATAATTAAAAACTACAGATCCACAGAAGTGTTTAACAAAGGCTAAAATCTCTTCCACAGGAACAAATGTCCACAAACTTGACATTGGTTGTTTGTTAAATTCCCTTTAAACTTAAACTGAAAAATCATCATATTATTTAACTATTTCCTTGTGGGAGGAAAAGTAAAAATAATTTCAAACCAGCCAATACGGTATATTTTACAAAAGAATAAGAGAATTAAAATTATTAGGATTTGGCATAGTACCTCATTTTTTCAAAAAGTCATTCTATTGCTTCAGGATTGATGTGTCTGACAGAACCTGTCTCAGAAATTTCACAACTCTTGGCTGGAATTCACAATAGTTATGCAAGAGAAGAGAGCAAAACATCTATGAATGATTTAAACTTTGGATTAAAATGGTAGTCACTTTCATAAGCTGATTGCTTATTTTATGTTGCTGACATGTCATACCTGGTAGCCAGGTAGATAGTTATTTTTCATTTTTGTGTGTTGTTAATTTTCATCATTAACATGATGCTGTGCTATTTAGATACAGCAAAACACCTAGTGAAGGGACATATGCCACAATACCCCATGCTTGCAAAAATCTGATTTATATACCTGTTTAAATAATCATCACATTTCACTTAATGTGCACCAAAAATGTATTTTAACAACCATATACTAATACTGATTTATTTGGAAAAGACATTCTTGCACTGTAACTAACAATCCTGAAGAATTGATCAGGATTTGAAGGAGGAATGACCAGAGAAGTTTGAACCATAGTCCATATAATGAATATGTCATCTTATATGTGTAAGAAGAGAAAAAGTGTTAATAGCCTGTGCTGTATTTGTGCTCTTTTAATTGAAAGGACTGGATAGTGTGTTGGTTAAAAAAATATAGTATCAACATGAAAAAAGATAAAATTGCTAGGATTGGCTATCGGATTAGTGGCACTATAGAGCATTGGTACATTAACACCACTGACAATGTCAATTCATTACCATTGATGGCTAAATAATCTTAGAAATGCTCAGTGGACCTATTAGTTCCTGAACATAAGCAGCTCATGCTGCATTTCTTCATTAGCTTTAATTGCTATAAATTTTACCTTTTTAAAAATCATGCTTTAAAAGGTGAAGTGATCTTTCAGGAACATTAACTCTGTAATTTTGTCACAAACAGAAGGTCCTGCACTATGTTTTCTTTTCTACAGTAGTTAATATTCTATCCTCTGACTTTTAGATTCTCTGTAATAAGCCCTCTGCTAGTTGTGAGGATAAATTGTGTTTCAAAAGCTTTTGAATCTGCTTGGGTACTTTTTAAAGGTGAAATGTCAGTGCAACATCATGGTGTGGTCTCAAAATACCACGTACTTTTAAAGGCAGATTATTTCAAAATTTTGGACTTAAAAAGAAAAAGGCAAAAAGTATATTTTTGGTGTTGTTTTAGGAAGGGTTTGCTGTGTCTCAGTTTTCCAAACGATCCTCATATTTACATGCTACAAAGTACACAATATATAATTCAGCTAGTTGTTGAAAAAGGCAGTAATTTTGCTGTGTTGTTTTATTTTTTTTTAATTGAAGTTCAGGGTTTGTTTTTCTTCAGCTGCACAGCAGAAACTACATGACACAGAAATTGGACACCGCTAATGTTTTAACATTTGGAATAAACCGTCTGCTACCCATTGCCTTATCGCAGATGTGTGTTAATTGTTTTCTTTTCTGTACCCATGGCTGTAAAATATACCCCATTATTTCAGGCGTAATGTCTATTTTCTGTGGGTATATTTGAATTTCATTTTTGAAAGTCTGACTGTGAAATTGGCTGATACCCTGGATTAGGTGAGCAAATCTTGGTTGCCCAGCACTTAAAATTTTTGTTTCATTTGTCTGGTGAAATGATGTGAAAAGGCTTATCGTACACTTTTCAAATTTTATCCCTTAGGTAAAATATGAAAAATGCATTGTTCTGCAGTTGAGATTTTGAACAGAAATTACAGGCAATGTTTGGTTTAAAAATATGTCTGTTATTCCTTTGCCTTTTTCTTGCCTTTGCTTTTAGAAACAGAATTTTAGGGTATGTAGTTACATGTTTCAAGTATGAGTGGCTGCTTCCTTTTTTTTTTATTTTTTTCCCCCTTTCCTTTATGACCACTTAAAAATCGATTGAAGATGGGTATAAGGTAGGTTTGGATCGTTAAGAAAATTTTCTGTATTTAAAATGTACACATAAACATTTTTTTCTACCTTCCTACAGATTGAAAGGACATTTGTAGTAATGTCTTTATTATGTTTATTACACGTATATTATTTAATATATAGTAGTCAAATGTTTTGAGAACAAAAGTAAGCCTTTCTAGACACAAAGGAATTTGGAGTGGGGTCAAAAAGATTATATTTATTTGTATTTTGCTGGAGTAGCCATGTCTTGTAGTTTTTTGATGTGGCATTTTGGTTTTTTTTTGTTGTTGTTTGTTTTTGTTGTTTTGTTTGTTGATTTTTTTGCTTTGTTTAGGTCTTTTGGTGGCTGTAGGTATTAATCTTTATTTACTTTCTTCTCCTTAGTTCTCTATTTGCTTTGAAACTCCTTTTTTCAATTAATTCTGGACTTGAGATGTTCTGATAAATAAATGTTTTGCTAAATTTGACTATTTCTTAAAACCTCAAATAAATAAGCTTTGGGGACAGTTATAGTGTCTCATGAATTGAAATAACCTTGCATAATTATTGATGCTAAGAGTAATTCAGAGATTTGTATAAAGTTCAGTATTTTAATGACACTGGTTGCTTAGAGAAAGTCTAAACAAAACTACTCACCTATACTGAGCATAGTGACTAATAGATCTTTGTTCTTGATAGATAAGGATGTGCTTTGACCAGCTGCATCAAAAAAAATAAAATTAATTGGCTGTACTCCTGTTTGTTGTGTCTGAAAAATCTTCTAGATTTTCAGATTTTTTAACTGATTACTATTAATACAGGCTACTTTTAGTGAAAGGCTGCACTTAAGATTGCCTTTGGCATGCAAAAAAGACTTATTCGTAAATTTATTGGTAGGAGCAGGAAAAACATTATATTTTCAAGGATGCCTTAATGTACTGTAATGTAAATTAATTATTTATACTTGTGCAGTTTAGGAAATCTTAAATAGAAAGTTGCTACTCTGGTAAAACTATTTTTGTGTGGTATTACCTAGTTTTTGTGCATTAGAAGGGATCTCTGTGTAGATGATTATAATGTCACTTTCTGACCTTTGCAGCTTGAATAATTGTAAATCATTGCTTCATAACGTGTCAGAGAATGTCTGTACTAGGGAATTAAATGGCAGAATATAATAGACCAAATTATTGCCTGTCATGTTTTCAACAACACAGTTAGTATTTGAGTTACACTTAATCATTACGTGCATTAGCAACTTCATTGGAATCCAGCTTCAGGCTGAGCATGAAATACATTACATTATTTAAACCTCTAATGGTAGAAGTCATTTATTTGTGTTGAAGTGTACAACATGCAGAGTTTCATAAAGCAAGGAACACTTGAGAGCTTAATTTATCCAAATCAAAGTCTAAATGCAGATAAACACAAGTGGCAAAAATTAGTAATTTT